GATATGTCCACATTTCGCTTATATCCATATTCCAGCATGCCTCGGGTGAGCCTAACGTTCGGATCCCAGCAGTAATAGAAATATTCTTTTTTCGAATAAACTTAATATGAGCACATTTGAACGGTCGTTATTATTATACAATCATACAGTCCAGTAAAATTTTAAATTAAACCACGAATAGATCAGTTTTGGTGCAATATATAAAAATAATTTCGCAATACGTGAATTATAATATTTAGAAATAAATAAGTTGACGGAAAAATTAAAAACATGAAACCTCCTGTTTTTTCCTGTTTTTTTTTATTTATTTATTTATATAACTTTAATGCATATAGTACAAAAGTAACAGTGAATTTGGCGGACTTAACACAATGCGGTATTTTCTACCAGTCAACCATAGGCAGTTACCATACCATAGGTAACCATAGAAAAATAGTTGGCGGTGCAATAATAATCTTAACAAAAAAAAATCAAGGCATAAAAAGTGATATAATAATATTTATACTATTACATTTATAACAATATATAAATTTTTGTATGTAATATATATATATATAATATAACGCGATAACGATAAGATATATGACAAAATATTTCGAATAAAAATCATTCATATTAGTTTAATGATAATAACTATCATTTTCAAAACAAGAAGCTTATATTTTAGGCTTTAAATTAAGTTGTATGAAATTCTGTATGGTAATTCTTTATTTCAGAAGCTAGAACGATATAAATTTTTTATTTGGCTTTTATTGTGTTAGATTTCTGTACTGTATATGTATTATACATATAAAGCTTCCTCTTGAATTACTTTATCGATTGCAAAAAAACTACATTAAAATCCTTTGTGTAATTTAAAAGATATAAACAAACAGACAAAAGAAGCGACTTATGTTTTATGCGATATATATATATATATATATTTTAAGATGAATTTATGTATAAACCGAAACACTGTTGTATACTTCATCAATTTTTCAAAAATTTTTTTTCATACACACATACATATACATACCTACACATAATTTCTCATATTCTCATAGGTCTTGAAATAATTGGTTCAATTACAATTATTTTATTATGTAATTTATATTATTTTATTTGTACTTCATAAATAATCTTTATTCCGTTAGCAAGGCTTTTTTTTATTTTAATTTTTTCCCTACCGTCCAGTTCGGTATATAGATGCAATTGAGAAGAATTAGGAAGTATTGGGAAGTTTCAGAAATCATACGTCTATGCAGCAGTACTTTTAATTTATTCCTTTTTCAAATTACACTCCACATTAATTGCGTCGTTGTACTATTCACGTCTGGTCTTCTCGGTCGCCTCGAACAGAGAGAGAGCAGCCTGCTCCCTCCTTGTTCCCGACCTCTTTATCTCTATTACTATTGGTGGCTTCATAATCGTGACGTCACTAACATCACGTGACTGGCTATAGTTTTAAATTTGTAATCTAAGTAACAAATTAGTCAACTGAGTGTTCTTTATGTATTGAAGCTACAACAAGGAACTCAATTGAATTACTTTTTTTTAAAAGCCAGTTTATTTACAAACATTAAAATTAATTCACTCAGCTTTCTAATTCATTCATATCATAATTATTTTAAGAACCTGAATACTCTCTTGAAATTAATTCCGATCAATCGACGTTGAATAGAGCATTTTGGCCGTTCAGTTTTATACTTACATTTTTTTATAACGTACATATATTTTCCGCCATTGAATTTGGATTTTTACATTTTTTTATATCTATCTAGCTACTCGTAGGTGTACATGAATTATATATATAAACCTTCTCTAAAATCACTCTATCTATAAACAAATTGCTTCAAAATACGTTGCGTAGTTTTAAAGATTTAAGCATACATAGGGACATACAGTAAAATCAGTTTGTTATTGTTTCGTAAGCTTTTATTAGTGTAATCACTAACTTTTTTGAAATTGTCTATATTCTTCCTGGCATACATGATATTTTCATAAATGTATTAAGTTGCGGCTTAAGTTATTAACATCCTTAGTTCGTACTTGGACTGATTAAGTCGACATTGTAATCGTCTTTAATTAACTCTTGATTGCATACAAAAGAACGGTAAAATAAGCTGAACTGGCTTGGCTGAAACTGATATTGAGATTATACTGAAGAGTTAAGTAAATCTGTAGGACTAGCGCGTAAATGACAGCTCACCTGATATGAACGAGTTATATTGGCATTCGGAATCCTAGATCTTGTAAGCCTTGTATGTTTCGGAACATATATTCAATATGTAATATGTAATAGTATTTGGTAATTCAGTTAAGAAAACTTTTTTTTTACATCTGTTTCAATGATTTTACTTAGTTTTTATGCTTGATAAAAACGTGTAAATATTGATGTTTTAACAATTTTCTAATTAATTAAAATTATTACAACAGTACATATAATTATGAGTAATGAAGAAGAAGAAACATTTATTGACAACCATTATTGATGTATATATAATATAATGCGATCGTTAGTGAAAATTTGAATCGAACGTTTAAGCGTTGACGTTTCATCAATTGCCCGATGAAACCGCTATTTTTTTTATTATGCCTTACAGCTCTGGATACAAGTCCTTTTGAGCACAACCTTTAACAAGTATATACCAGAAACATACGCAATACATCTTTCATGCAGGAAGTAATGAGCGTGTAAGTAAGGTATAGATAAAGAGCGCGAGAATGACGCGCGCGCCACCGCTTCCGCGTTTTTAATTGTATATGCTTTAGCGCCTTTTTAGTGTGTTTCAAAATGGCGGATATCTGACTATGGAACAAAGACATAATTATTGAGCTATTCATAATTAATATATCATAAACGTGTCTTTAAATATGGGAATAAAAAATAAAATTTAAAAGTAAATTCTAATGAAGCATACGCATTATAATACATAAAAGAGTATACACAAAAAATAGTAAACTGTAATCCCTGAGCGCGCTGGCTTTCCCGCCCTTAATGACGCACACGCTCGTGATTGCGCATGTAGGAAAGTGTCGTGTAAAGGCATGTCTTAACAAATAATGGAATTTTGAACATTGACACATTGGAGCAGGAGTAACCCGACATTGAGGGTGAAGCAACTGGAGTCGAATTACAACACGATTTCCAAATTGTTTGTAGCCCCGGGTCCCCACCAACATACCAACATGCTGTCCTCCTTCGTGAAGGAGGATCACTGGCTATCAGAATATTATTTCATATGTATGTTAGTTTAAAAGCTATTTATAATATGGTAGTCTGAAATAAATAAATAAAATAGACGTGTATAATTTATATGCGACATTTTATTTAACCTAGTTTTCATATTAAGATGTCGCATTTGCAACAGACACAGCAAGCATTCTTGAATATCATTCTAAAGACTAGAACAGCGATACGGGAAATAGCAAAATAACTATCTTGTCTTGTAGCTAGTAGAAAAATATTTTATGAAGTATCAGAATTCTGATGGAGATATTCAGTGGATTACATATATAGCAGTAAATATAATTTATTCTCGTTCCGATCACAGTTGCACATTACATATAAACTGTTACTTAGCAACATTACTTGTTTTAAATGTGATGGATTATAATTTTTCTTCTTAAATCAATTTGCTTAATAAATTCCACATTCCACTACTTATATATTGTATATATTTCCTGTTTTTTTATTTCCTTTTTTTTTATCGAATATGTAATGTTATGTTATGTAGTATGTATGGTTTAGTGTTGTGTAAAAGTAAATGTTAATAAATGAAATAATATGCACCCTGGGAAGGTATGTGACATCTGAGATCCTTATGCGAGCAGCTAAGGAGTGGAACTCTCTACCAGCGTCTATTTTTCCTGCCTCTTACAACATTGGGTCTTTTTAGTCAAGAGTGAACAGGTATTATTTGAGCTTGCGTGTAACAGCTTAGACCACATCATCACTTAACATCAGGTGAGATAACGGTCAAACGCGCTCAAATTATGATATAAAAAAAAAATACAGTATAATTTTAATTAGTTCAGATGGCACAATTACACTTGTATGTTAAAACTGTATTGACTCTTATGTACAACTTAATTATGTAACACAACCTATAACTGCAATAAAAAATATTATTATTATTATTTTTTATATATATATATTATATATCTCCCATAGATGGGGCAATAGACTGATCATTGCGGCTAAAATTCACTAAACAATGACAGTATAAATTATGAATGAGGATGGATAATTTTTAAGTGGAAGACAAAAATTTGCGGACTATTTTATTATTATTATTATTTGATTTTTTGCTTACCTCGTTTATTTATTTATTACTACATCATACTGTATAAGACTATGTAAAACTGGAAGAAATAGAAGAAAGTTATAGATATATGCAATATACCCTAGATAAAGCTAAATATAAAATAGTACTACCTAATAGCATAGATTGAGTTAACACGATATAAAAGGTTCAATATCAATATATTACCTTTACAGTACTTTGACTTGATTTGAAGTGTCTCCGGAAATCTGCTTAATTAATATAATAATAAGTTTGTGTGCCATATAGCAATTATTATTATTTATTAACTTATTCGTTTCTACTAAGTTTATTTTCTTATTTCGCCCAAAACCAAATTCTTTTTTAAGATAAAAGGTAGTCAATCTCGCGGTCGGTCCAATAAATTGTGTCATGACCACAATTTATCAGTCACACATTTTAAGATTGGTAAATACATACAAACCACCCAGAGCGATACAAACAATCATACTCATAAATATAAATATTTACACTGTACGAGGAATCGAACCCGCGACCTTTATAAGTAAAGCGATGTGCTAAAGCGTTAGAACATCGATTCAGTTGAATTTGAAAGTGAGCATTAATTACTTTCACAATTCAGTTGAATTTGAAAGTGAGCATTAATTACTTTCACAATTCAGTTGAATTTGAAAGTGAGCATTAATTACTTTCACAATTCAGTTGAATTTGAAAGTGAGCATTAATTACTTTCAGCATGCAAGTGACCTGGCCGACTCGTTCCGCTACCTCGCCTCAAGTTTGCAAAGTGTGCCTTCTTGGTCTGCGTGTCAAGAAAGTTTTAATACGAACGTCAGCTGTTTGTCATCAAAGGATATCATTATACGGTGCAGAGAAAAGCAACTCACCAATCTGAATATTACGTCTGCACACATCAATTATTTGTAAGTATGTGTTTCGGGTAAATTTATTTTTATTTTATTTATTTATTCATTTATTTCAGGCAACTAGGCCCATATTATAAATACCTTATAGACTAACATACATATAATATAATATTTAAAAACTAATACAATAATATTGTCTGTGTGATCACGGCACTGAAGACGGCAATTTGCCACGGTAGCGCCGATACACCACACCTTTCGGCCAGTAGTCCTCTTTCATGAAGGTGGGCAGCAAGTCGGTGGGGACCAGGGCCACAAACGCTTTGAAACTCGCGTTGTGACTCGACTTCAGCTGCGTCACCCTCAATGTCAGGTTACTCTTGGTACGAATATAATCGACAATGTCCTGCTCCTGTTATGATACGATGTTGTTGGTCGAGACGATGTATATTACAGATGGTAATAAACTGACAATATGTACATAGAAATAATTATGTTATATAGTAAATATCAATAGAAACCTTCAAGAAAAGAGCTTATTCCTTTTTAAAAGGCCGACAACGTACTTGCAATTCCCCTGGTGTTACGAGTGCTCATGGGCGACGGTAATCACTTACCATCAGGTGAGCCGCATGCGGTTTGTTCCCTGTGTTATAAAAAAAAAAAGGAAAATGTAAGGTGGGATGACACAGTTTAGACACGGCAGTGCTTAGTAGACAATATTGAATTTGTCTTACTAGACATTATTAAATGCAATTATTATTTTGATGTATCTAGATAACTGTATCCCATATATGTAACTAGCTGATACGAACTACGTTTCGCATTAAAATTAAATGTCAAAGAAGTTTGAAGTTTACTTACGCAATGAATTACTGAACGCACCCTGTTTGACAGGTAGCAGTTTATATGTGAAAATAAAATTGTTGTTTTTACTACTTTATCAGCAATTCCGATTTACTACTTTATAATCGTTTAACCTTCCCTGGACTTCCACGAATATTGCAAGACTGAAATTAGACAAATCGGTTCAGCCGTTCTCGAGTTTTAGCGAGACTAAAACAGCAATGAGTTTTTATATATATAGATTACAAATCTTCGATTTTCCCGGCTTGTTAACTATCAAACGCATGTATTAAACATATTTATACACTTGAATCACTTGTGTCATGACACATTAGTGGTAAATTGTAGATATTAACAAATAAAAAAGCATATATTGAATACTACAGTAAATAGACGAGGAAAAATGTTATAACACTTGATACGACACGATGAATTTACGTAAGTTATTATTGAGGGAGAGATAGAAGGAAAGATGGAGGAAGAAGACCAAGGTACAGCTACATCAAGCAATTGAAAGACAGAATTGGAGTCGTGTAGTATCAAGGTTTAAAGAGTATGAGGGAATATCGTGGAATATAGCACGAGCTCCGACAAGAGCGTCGCTCTTAAATTATGAATGAATGAATGAATGAATGTATTAAAATCCGTTGCGTAATTTAAAAGATATAAGCATACAGACAGACAGCAGTGGGGACTTTGTTTTATGCAATATAATGATGTGTATTTTGGTTTATTTATTACACGTTACTTCATCTGTTACAGAAAAAATTAAAATAATCGAAAATTTATGCAATAATCTATACATATAAATAAAATTGGAATGCCCGTTTGTAATATTGAAATAACCGTTTTTACTACATGCATATGAATATATATACGGTACATACAACAAAGCTTTTTACAATCTGTCTGTCTGTCGGTCTGTTTGTTCAGGCTAATCTCTGAAATGGCTGGACTGATTTTAACGAGACTTTTTTTGGCAGGTAACTAATGTAATATGCAGTAATTTTAGGCTACTTTTATTTTAGAAACAATCTTTTATTTTAGAAAATATAAAGTTTAATTCCACGCGGACGAAGTCACGGGAACAGCTAGTTAGTAATAAAAATAGATCTTATCTCGAAGGAATCTCTTACAGATAACCTTTAGGCAGAAGAGAAGTTAAAGATAGGGGAGCAAAAGTAGATGGTGTACATAAAACACAATTTGTATATCTTATATATATAATTTTATATATAAGATTGACAGATTTTTATGACATGTTATATGCATATTCAGTAAGTTTCAGAATGGAATACTATCTATTTTTCATACCCCAAAGGTGACAACGACTGTCCACCCCGAACATTTTTTTATTTTTTAAAATGTGGTACTTAAAATACATGCAATCCTAATTTTCCCTTCTTATACATATATACATATAACTAAATATATATAACTCAAAGGTGACTGACTGACATAATGATCTATCAACGCACAGCCCAAACCACTGGACAGGTTAAGACTTTGCTTGCCTAAAGCTACTATGACGTAGGCATCCCCTAAGAAAGAATTTTGATAAATTCCACCCCTAAGGGGATAAATTAACGTGAGCGAAGCCGCGGGCAAAAACTAGTATATACATATATATTAAACAAATATGTACATACCTACATAAACATACATAAAATTGTTATTAGGCTTATCGATATAGACTTTGTACTAAGTCGTAATTAGGTCTAGCGGCTTAACATGCCGCATTGCTTCCGAAGGTCGCGGGTTCGATTTCTCGCACGGTACAAACATTTGTATTCATGACTATGTTTTTCACGATCTGCGTGTGTTTTATGTATAATATTTTATTTATTAAAACTTTAATGCACAAATAGAGATGCATATGGGCCATATATTAACCATTGGGCAAACATAGATTTATGTGGGCAGTGCATTTAAAAAATATGTAGGTACATAATTAAAAAAAACTATGATTCAGATTTAAACCAGTCCATAACCATATATAATACATAATATAAAAAAATATTTCTCATGTACTCAATATTTATAAATATAACTACATACTTGTGTATACATATAGGAATGAGGATAATATTTTAAGAAAGGTGTTACATATGAATGTGGATGGTTATAAGGGCAGAGGAAGGCCGAAAAAGAGATGGATGGACTGTGTGAAAGATGATATGGCAAGAAAGGAAGTAAATAACGCGATGACTGCGAACAGGGATGAATGGAAGAGAAGGAAGAAGCAGATGATGATGATGATGATGATGACTTGTGTATAACATATACATATATATTTAATATATACGTATATAAATCAACAGTGAATGTTCAGATGCATGCAATAATATGTATGCATTTATAAGAAATATATTTATACATTTGTAGCATCTGTCTAGAGCCCATAACATAAGATCCGCTTACCTTGAAACTGTATGACGCTGTGAGAATTGTCCTCAGATCTATACATATAAATAAAATTGGAGTGTCTGTTTGTAATATTGAAATAACCGTTTTTTACTACATGCATAATATAAGAATATAAATATCACATACACCAAAATAACATTTTTTACAATTTTTATCTGTCTATCTGTATGTCTTTTAGTTCGGGGTTCCGATTTTGACGGGACTTTTTTTGGCAGGTAGCTGATGTAAAGAGTAACTTAGGCAACTTTTATTTTTTAAAAATAAAGTTATATTCAACGATGACAAAGTCGCGTGTACAGCCAGTTATAATATATAAATAGATGGTAGTTGTCGCTTTTCATCCGATATGTCGTCACATTGTCTGCAATTCCAGCTCAAGGAAAAATTCTATAATACCATTAAAGGATAATGCAGCAGAAATAGATACAGAATGGACTCGTAATAATAGATCTTTTCAGACAATAAGAAGGTACAATACAATATGTTATAAAGTGCATTTCAAAGGACCGTCTTACGTGTAAGCAATCTCTCACGAATGACCTGCTACAATAGAAAGTCGCTGCAACAATACTAAGCCAGCGTCGAGGTTCCTCATACAATGATTGAAATATCATATCGGAGAATATTACAAAATAATCCACACGTAGATTGTCTGATAACGTAATAGTAAATTCGCTCGCTTCAATAGAAAAGTCGTTGAACGATACTTAAGCTTTCACCGAGGCGGACTGAGGTTTCTTAAAGAATAATCTATACAGATGTATACATACACTTTTTACAATTTTTATTTGTCTGTCTGTTTGTTTCGGCTGATCTCTGAAATGGCTGGACCGATTTTGACGGGACTTTTTTTAGGTAGCTGATGTAATAGGGAGTAACTTAGGCTATTTTTATTTTAGAAAAATAAAGTTAAATTCCACGCGGACGAAGTTGCTAGTGCAGCTAGTATATACATATAAATAAAATTGGAGTCTCTGTTTGTAATATTGAAATAACCGTTTTTTACTACATGCATATGAATATAAATACGGTACATTACACACAGTACACTTTTTACAATTTTTGTCTGTCTGTCTGTCTGTCTGTTTGTTCCGGCTAATTTCTGAAATGGCTGGACCGATTTTGACGAGAGTTTTATTGACAGGTAGCTGATATAATAAGGAGTGACTTAGGCTACTTTTATTTTAGAAAAAATATTTTCATTTAGAAAAATAAATTTTGGCAGGTAGCTGATGTAATAGAGAGTAACTTAGGTTTTTTTATTTTAGAAAAAATATTTTCATTTAGAAAAATAAATTTATATTCCACGTGACAATACGCGAATACAGCTAGTTTAAAATATAAAAGAAGAATGCACTATCGTATCTTTGTACGAAATAGCGCTGACAGAGCAGTATCAAAATTTAGCAAATTTAAACTTCATACCGAGATGGAGTGTAGAATGCTAATATTGTTTTAAAATTACTCATAAATGATACAGTAAATCAATAAAAAAACATTAAACATACGACCAAGTATTTAACACACAAATGTATAAATATACAATTTTCTTTACTGTTAAAATCAGTTGTCAAATTGATAATAATTTATTATTGTTTATCTTTAATATTGTGCACGACACACCTTAAACTTTTATTATATATGTATATATAAAATCCATTTTATTATTTTTTCGATAATTGTCAATTTTGAAATATATATCTTTCAGCTTTAGCGACCGTACTTTTTATTCGAACTAAATATAAAATATATTGTCTTTCTTAAATGACTATATATTTTATATTTAATAAATAATAACTAATTTTATATATAATAACCTTAGTAGTTAAAAAATATTATTAATCTTAATCTAATGTCGAACTAAATTTCAAACATGACCATAATAATTTAAATTAATTATGTATATATATTTATTCTTCCGCGTAAAATCTACTGAACGGATTTTGAAGAAACTTTGTAAAGTTTCAGTACGTTTAAGTACAATATAGCTTTTACATTAGAATAACGTAAATATATAAATTGACTGCGGGTCAAACCGCGTGTACAGCTAGTAAAATATAAGTTTTATCGTATTAAGTGTTATTTTGCGAAATTCATTTCACAATTTAATGGATTTATAATATTTAGTTTAATTTCGATAACATTCAACGCAGTTTCATCGCCCTCAATACTAGGTTCCAAGCTATAATTATAATCTCAGGACAATTCACACAGCGCCATCTGGACCCAAGTTAAGCTAGCTAAAGCTTGCGTTATAGGTACTAGATAACTGATACATATACATATTTTTTTTTTGTAAATACATACATATTATACTTATACTAACAATCAAACTTATGAATACAAAATGTTTGTGCCATGCGAGGAATCGAACCCGCGACCATCGGTCAAACCGCTAGACCACCGAGATCGTCAAAGCAATATATATGTAAACTCCAATGCTTGATAACGCCTCGTTCAGAGGCGAAACACATGGCACTGTATGGGTCGAGACTCAATAGTGGTTGGAATTTGATCGCCAATAGAGAAGTTGGTAATACTTCCAATAATGATAGTCAAGTTCCCGCACTAAATATTCGAGGTCTCACACATGCTAATGACAGCGGAGTTAAACAAAATTATCCATTAAGTAATTAATTACAAGCTCCAATGTAACGTAGGCATATGTACGAAGTAAAATCTGCTCCTTAGTAACAAACACATTACGAGTGAAATATAGCCAGCTACGATATGTAGAAGATAACCTAAAAACATCAAAGAGATATATAATCCTATTTCAAATAAAATATATATTTATTAGCACTCTACAATAGTAATATATTTATTATTCTAAGGCCATATTTGTAATGCAGACTCGGATGAGAAAAAGGAAAAATCTCTTTAAATAATATTCACAAGATTTGATATACATAATATATTGTGTTAAACTTAAATATAGTGGGATACAACCTATAAGGCCATGATATATTTAGTTGGCAACAAAAAACGTTTTTAATAATAATAAATAAATGACCCTGAACAATTAACACAGCCCCAAACAGCGTTAACTCAGAGGTACCCCTAACTTTTTTGTGTCGTAGACCCCTTACCATATTTTTCGATTTTGGGTACCCCCATTCTTACCTGGTATTGATTTTTTGTAAATTTCAAGATGACCGTTGTCGTAGACCCCTTGCAGTTTGATATAGACCCCTGGGGGTCGATATAGACCACTTTGGGTATTACTGCTCTAACTAAATAAGTGGGACTAAATAGTCCCACTGTAAGCAGAGCTTGTGTTATGGGTACGAGACAACTGATATAAATACATAATTGTTTCTTTAAATACATACATAATATACATAGAAAACTTCCAGACCAATATAAACAATCATACTCATGAATACAAATGTTTGCACCGTGCGAGGAATCAAACCCGCGATCATCGGATGTAAAGCGGTGTGAATTTTGTGGTTTTGTGAGTGTGGTTACTGAATGGATTATGATGAAATTTAGCTTTTAGCTTAGACATCAGAATAACAGCTAAATTGCTGAAACCGCGGGCACAGCTAGTAATTAATATATTCCTACTATTAATATGTTTCTACTATTTTAAGCAATAACTTTTGTTTAAAAGTAGATGCTTAAAACTAGTGCATTTTTTTAAAGGATGATAATGGAATGGTGCACCCTCCTGCGCTAACGGTTTACGCTGGCGGGGCACCAGTGGAGGATGATAAGATGAGCATGAGGTCAGGTCAGTTAGCCCAACGTGACAAATTCTCCGGGAATGTATCACGATGGTTTCCAGGGGGAACCGCGTGGAGGTCGATCTAACATGGTACATTGCTAGCCCCATTGGTCATTAGTCCCCATTATTAACAATCCCCTTCCCCCCTAAAACTAGTGCTGTAAAATACCGATTTATACATGTCAGAAAATCGTATTTCAGGAAATCGTTTTCATATTTCGATCGGAACGTTCTCACAACGAGATTCTTTGCAGTCGCTCTGGTGTGGATTTTCAATTTCTTCTTTACAACAGTCACAGACGATACACTTATAAAGGTACGCTTAGAGACACATAACTTTATCTGTGTAGATAGATAGATAAGACGTTTATTTGAATTCGTACATTTCACACACATTTACGCTTATGCACATTTGTATGTGGCACATAATTTTATCTATGTAGATAGATAAGACGTTTATTTAAATTCGTACAAACTTCACTTATACACATTTATATGGGGCACATAAGTTTATCTATGTAGATAGATAAATAGATAAGACGTTTATTTGAATTCGTACAAATTACATACATTTACAATAATACACAGTTATGTGTGGCACATAATTTTATCTATGTAGATAGATAAATAGATAAGACGTTTATTTGAATTCATACAAATCACACACATTTACACTTACGTAAATGTGGACAGTGGACAATACGTGAATCGATATAATATTAACATTACAGTTTGTATATTTATTATGTGTATGAGATGATTTTCTATTGTACCGTCTATTGATCCATATTGTTCATATATATAATACTCTAATAAACTAATTAATTCAAATAAAAAAAATATTATTATTGAACTTTATAGTATATTTTTTTAGAGGATGTCAATGGAATGCTGCACCCGCCCGCGCTAACGGTTTACGCTGGCGGGGCACCAGTGGAGGATGATAAGATGAGCATGAGGTCAGGTCAGTTAGCCCATCGTGACAAATTCACCAGGAATTTAATATAATGGTTTCTAGGGGGAACCGCGTGGAGGCAATCTGACATGGTACATTGCCAGTAATGGGGCCATGAATCCACATTACTACCAATCATCTTCCCCCCATTTTATAGTATTATATATAGAATATCAAAACATATTAATCTGTGGTATAGGATATGTAATTTCTATATAAATAGTAGTTTGAATCTGACAATGTCAAATACGTACGAAGTCAAAACTTATAATTTTTGAAAAAACAACCTTATGACGTGCACACTTAAAAATAAATTAATTGTAGACGAATTTAGATAAAAAGGCATCGTACTTGTACGGGATTGAAAAGACGCCTAGGATTGCTAGAGACTCGAGATATAACTGGGCTAAGCTAGACATTTCATTGCTTGGTATAAACAAGGATAACCTCAGATCAGAAGTGACCGATTTAGCTTAAACGATTATCAAGTTGGAGCAGCAATGTATCACTAGGGATGGTTGATATTTAAAATACATCGATGTCGATAAGTATATACGATAAATATCAAAATAAATCATATATGTGTATGTTTATCTTCAATTTATCTGATCTTATAACATTTTAAGGGTTGAATTACTTTTTAGCTTATAAGGTTTAAAATCAAATCAATTACCAATTCTTATTTTTTATCGTAGATTCGATATATAGTCGGTTGAATAGAAAAATGGCAGTATTCAAAATGTTTTTTTTTTCTTTTTGTTTAATTTGAAAACCAACAGCGAAATACAAATAATAACAAATAATATGTACTTAAAAATAAGGCCAATTAAAGGTTTTCTCACAATTACAATATTCAGTACTACAACACTAAAGTATTAACATATTATTGTTCTGTTTATCCACAAGTCTAATTTATACAATATAATGCTTATACCATCTAATTTATGCAAATTTTACTAGTTTCTTACTACGAAGAAGAGAACTTTTTTTAATTCCTTCTCCTTTAAAATTTAAAATTTACACAGAAGTATATCATTTTAAAATGATTAAGGTAATGATTAAGACGGCGTGTTTAATTTAATTGATTTATATAAAAGTAGGCAATTCTAGCTTCTAATTTTGAAAAATGTCTATTTAATCGACGATATCTTTAATGTTTTATTAACATCGGACTAAAACATCGTGTTTTATTAACATCGATAACTACTGAGCATCCCTACTAGTCGCTCATAAAGCTGGAATAACCGATAGCTGCAGGAAAGAAAGGTTTTCGAGTGGCGAGAATGACTTGTTAATTACACTGATATTTTTGTAACAACCTTGTTATAAAACTGACTTTGTTATTAATTTCAGCTCTTTAAGATAGCATTTATATGGAGGTTCATTTCAACGTTTCTTATATTTATTTTAATCACGTATTCAAGCAAGTACTATGCTACTACCGCCTTCTCTCAAATGATGGACGTAACTGCTCCTCGGTCTTATGTAAGTACATTTTAATCTAATTCAAATTCAAAATAATTTATTCATGTAGGACATTTTAGCCGCTTATGAACGTCAAGTTTTTGCACTATAATTTTAATTTTTTCCCTACCGTCCAATTCGGTATATAGATTCAATTGAAAACTAGCAAGAAACTCAATTGAATAACTTTTTTTTAATCCAGTTTATTTACAATGTATATTTATATAGGTGTCTATGTCTAACATTAAATGAAAATCCAGTGCATGAACAACTATTTCCATGCACGTTCGTCATTCAAGTAATCGTTTAGTGAGTAATAGGCTTTGCTCAATATATATGATTTAACAGATCTAATGTAAGTGTTCTTTGTATAATTACCGCAAATGGAGATATTAGTTACTAAAACTAACGGCCTTTTGCTACGCCTGTGTTCAACAAAGAGAATAATATATATAACATATGTATGTAGGAATTATAACATTACAAAATTTTCTACCGCATATATCACGGGGAGTATTCTGAGGAATTGTTCGGTTAATATAGCTGCTGAGTTTCACCACCGTACCACCCGCCAGAAACTGAAATACCATCCTGATTATCTGGATGAATGGCGGTCTTCCACAGTGCGGTTTTCTAGAAACTTTTTGCCTCGCACAACCATATTGTGGAATCACCTTCCAGCAATGGTATTTCCGAACCGATACGATATTGAAACCTTCAAGAAAAGAGCTTATTCCTTTTTAAAAGGCCGACAACGTACTTGCAATTCCCCTGGTGTTGCGGGTGCTCATGGGCGGCGGTAATCATTTACCATCAGGTGAGCCGCACACTCGTTTGTCCCCTGTGTTACAAAAAAAAAAAATTCAAAATTATAAAAAGACATAGGTCGTCTATTATGTATGTAATAGTAATATATAATACAGTATATATTATCCTACATACTTATTGTTAATTATCATTTGAAGAATAGTCTTATAACAATAAATTATTTCTTTAATTATTAAAATTATCATTACATCATCATACGTCGTTCAATTGTTAATTTAAAAATAAAACTATAATCATAAAGAAACGCATAAATCCTCTTTCCACATATATATAAACTATATATTATTATATTATATTTGCTACTAGCCCCGGGTTCGCTCCAGTATACATGTATTATACATATAATCATTCCTCTTGAATCATTCTGTCTATTAAAACAACGGCATCATAATCCGTTAAATTTTAAAGATTTAAGCATACATAGGGACGGGCAGACAGCGGCAGCGTCTTTGTTTTATACTATGTAGGTATATTTTTTTTTTTATCATAATAAATAAATGAGCTTGGACAATTAACACAACTCCATTTAGTACAACGGTAAGCAGAGCTTGTGTGGGTACTACATAAATATAAACTATAGACAACTGATATAAATATATAGATTATTATTAGATATTGTACATAGAAAACACGAAAACACTCAAACCGATATAAATAGTCGTACTCGTGAATACAAATATTTTTACCGTGCGAGGAATCGAACCCGCGACCAACGGAAGTAGGGTGTGCTAAACCGCTAAACTACCGAGGCCGTCAATATATATATGTTCATATATGTCTACTATGATATATTATTAGAAACAGATAAACGTTAGGTTACAATATACATATATATATATATATATATATTTATAATTATAATTGTTCCGGCTAATCTCTGAAATGGATGAACCAATTTTGACGGGACTTTTTTTGGCAGGTAGCTGATGTAATAAGGACTACCTTAGGCTACTTTTATTTTAGAAAAATAATGTTAAATTCCACGCATACGATATCGCGGGAACAGCTAGTGTAATTATAAACTAAAGTTATTTAATCGAAAAGCAAATTCTATAGAAAGATAAAACTTGTCTAGAATCTCGTAATATAGTCTTAATTCGTCAGTCTCAATCAATGTTAGGTTTTGCTGTATCATGTCGTACTTTATTTAAATGAATAGAAATTAGCCCAGTAATTATTATTATAGCACTTTTTTCCTTATTTTGTATAATTTAAATAAGATATATGACAAAGTGATGACTAGTTAGATCATATTTTATTATTACATTAAACTAGCTTAATATAATAATAAAATATGCTAGCAAGCTGACCCTGCAAACGTTGTTTTGCCATAGAATAGAATAGAAAATCATTTATTTAAATAAACTTAATTTAATCACTTCTGAATAGTCAACAATTTTTTTAACACCCTCAGCGCCAGACCCTAAGTGACCGTTTAAAAAAAAAACAATTTTTTGTAAAATCTATTGGCGAAGATAATTAATTGGCATAGGACAATTTTATATGACAAGTAACATGTAAAATTACACGTTAATCTTCCTAAATAAAATAAAAAATAAAATAAAATAAAAATGAAATCCGAATTCGAAATTTAAAATAAAAATAAAAATAAAAAGAAAATAAAACCGATTCCCAGACGATTTACATCGGATAAATGCAACAGGCCGGGGCTTTTATTTGTGTAATAGATGTATAGAGAACGTGTTCCTAAAGGATACACAGCGCGTTTACAAAGAAGAAAGATGTGTATACTTTTGAATACACAGTGCTCCAGACACTGTGTGACAAAAAGATACACATGGCGCCTAAGGTGTTAATCAACCGCTTATTCGAAAAGCTGTCTCATTATAAGAAGAATAAGCAAGAAACTTGTGTGCTGCTCTTTTATTGATTAAAATTGTAAGTTCACATTTTACAAGTCGATACGTGCGAATACAAACTACCAACCAGAAATTTATTTGGGTCAAATATAAATCATCATCATCATCATCATCGCAGCCCGGAAGACGTCCACTGCTGGACATAGGCCTCCCCCAAAGATCTCCACGACGATCGGTCCTGCGCTGCTCGCATCCAATGCCTTCCAGCGATCTTGACCAGATCGTCGGTCCACCTTGCTGGAGGCCTTCCCACGCTGCCTCTTCCGGTCCGTGGTCGCCACTCGAGGACTTTACTGCCCCAACGGCCATCTGTCCTACGAGCTATGTGCCCTGCCCATTGCCACTTCAAAGTCGCAATTCTTCAAATATAAATAATGCATATAAATTAAAATCGCTATTTAAAATAGGGGTTGAGGGTAGAAGCACGAAAATTTGGTGTTGTATTTATTTTTAATGCCACATTTTACATAAAATAAATAAAAAATTTATGCAAAAAAATAAAAAAATAACGTTAGGTGTGGACAACCCTTATCACTGAGGGGCATACCCCGGCTAGGGTTGTCCAAGGGTCTGAGAATCGGCTACTATCTATTTTTCATAAATAATAGCCGATTCTCAAACCTGAATATGCATATCAAATTTCATAAAAATCGGTCAAGCCGTTTTAGAGGAGTATGGTAACTGATATTGTGACACGAGAAATATATATATATACTAGTTGCACGGCAAATGTTTTGCTGTATCGTTATTAAAGAATTGGGTTTGTGATTGAAGGGTGAAAATTTAGGGTTGTATATATTTTATAATGCTAAATGATAAGAAAAAAAATTGAGAAAATAAAAATGTTAAGGGTGGATAACCCATGTCACTTAGGGGTATGAAAAATAGATCGAATCTCAGATCTACTGACTATAGATTTAAAATTTCATAAAAATCGGTCAAGCCGTTTCGGACGAGTATGTATTACTACATTGTTATTGTTAACTACAAGGGAGAAGAGAATTCTTTGTAATGTGGACTAATAACCACATTGCTAGCATTGTACCATACCATCAGGTTGACCTCCACGCGGTTCCCCCTGGAAACCATCATGTTAAATTAAAAATAAAAATTAACGACGAACCACTAGAATGGTCTAGCGGTCTAGTACATAGCTTTACGTCCGATGGTCGCGGACTCGATTCCTCGCACGGCAAAACATTTGTATTCATGAGTATAATTGTTTGTATCAGTCTGGGTGTTTTCTATGTATAATATGTATGTATTTACGAAAAAAAATATCTATGTATATGTATCAGTTATCTAGTACCCATAACACAAGCTTTAGCTAGCTTAACTTGGGTCTGGATGGTACTGTGTGAATTGTCCTGAGATTACTATTATTATAAAATTCCTGGTGAATTTGTCGCAATTGGTTAACTGATCTGACCTAATAGTCATCTTTTCATCTTCCACTGATGCCCCGCCAGCCATTACCACATATACCATTAGAGCTGGCCATGACACCATTCCATTATCAACCCTCAAAAAATACATACAATATACATTGTGATACGAGATTTTTATATATAAGATATATAAATATGATTATTATGAGCCGATATTCATGTACTTATTTTGAAATAATCGCGTTTAATACACACTATTAATATAGTTAAACGGGTTTTAACACGAATAATTTTATGGTAAATAAAGGTATTTAACGTGTCGACTAGATTACACTGGCTGTGGTTAGATCGTGACTTCTGACCGCGAAATTATTCATGATAAAACCCGTTTATCTATACTAATAATACAATATTACATTAACATTTTAATCGTAAAGTCAAAATTTGCCCTAATAATATCAATTAATTTTAATTTTAATTACTCTATTAATGTAATTTTCTGGTGCAATAAAGAGTATATAAATAAATAAATAATACCGTAAGTTTAGTTGATAAAATTGGCGCCTACTTGTTATTTTAGTGCTTCTTAATAATTTGTTTGCATTAAGTTTGAAATATACGAATTTACGATAAAGATCCTTGGATTTCTCAGTCTCAAATGTGTTAATTGTGTCCGTCATTATAATTATGCGTCATTCATACTCGTACTGATAGATTGATGTGGTCCTGATTGATCCTCCGTTCAATTTAAACGGGTATCGAAATTACCTGAGCCGAAGTTTGAACCCGTAGCGGTACCCACAGTCTAAAGTCGTATCTGTCAGGCGGGAGTTGGCTTTCAGCCGCTTCATAAGTCCTTCCGCGGATTTGAAGTCTCATCTGCACTTGCCCCGTATCGTCCAGTGAAGCTGTAAAGACGAGCTGT